CGATAATTAGTAGGACAAGTTTCCAGATATAATTCTTTAATTCTACGTAAAGAAATCATAATTGAAACCACTCATCTAGTTATGTCCTCTAAAAAAAAAAAACCCACTTACCTAGCCATTCAATCACCAGTCAGTGATGATATTATTGATATATTATTGGAAAGCCACAATTCCTCCTGATCTATTTTATTATTGAAGAGCCAATATCAATTAATGGATTTTTGTTCCACATATATCATTAACATATGTGCTGATTAATTTTCTAGAAGAAACGAGTGTCTTAATGAGAACTTACCTTCTGTGCTAATGTTGCAAAGCTGCCTCAAAACCTCAGCAAAATCTGGAGGAGGTGGGCATGAAATGTGTACCTTCTCACCTGTGTATGGGTGCTGGAAACTATAAAAGAAAAGAGCAGCAGTAATTACCACATCAATTTCTGATTACCATGAAAGAGAAGTAAAGATTGGAGACTTGAGATTCATCTTCTAACCCAAGAGACAAGGTGTGAAGGAAAGGCTTCTCTAGTCCAGAAATCAATTCTGAAATTTGACCATGAGAGCTGGGTGAGGTTCTAGGCCACAGCAGTGAGAAGGCCATGCTCTTTGTCCCTCCATACACCTCATCACGCAATAAAGGAATTCCCATGTACTTTGCATGTGCACGAATCTGCTTCAGAGAGTGAATATAAATCAAAAGAGACTAACAATTTTTTAGAATAAATATTTACACGGTTGGACTTTGAAATGAACACAAAATGGAAGCCAAAGTTCAACAATCAAAATTTGCATGCCACAAATATAAATAAAATGCTGATTGGACAGTTTAGCTTTTGATATATAAATTTTAACTAGATCCAATATGCTTTAAGATACATTAGGCTCTCTAACCACCCATCTTGTTTTAGCATCTTGAACAACAAAATGCAAGATCAAGATATATTAACTAACCGAGATATATATAATAGTCCACATTGATGGAATATGATCAAGGAAATTTATGACTTAATGATCAAGAATAGAAAAAAAGAACATACACCGCATGACATGTGATTTATATAATACATAAGAATAATAGAAGAACCAGAAAAAGAGGTCTTGAGGTATGAATACCAAATCACCAGTCTAATGAAGAAATTTCTCGGGGTATCTATTGCATCAAGTTGAAACTAAAATGCAGGTTGTTACAATCAACATCGAGAACTTATGATGCATGCTCAAATGCATTTTCAGGATGAAAATTTTCAACATAGAGAACTCATGAAAGCATCAGCTGTGGTCAAATGCATGTTCAGGACAAATTTTTTAACTGTCAACATGGAATATTTAAAATGAACACAAATAAATGTTACATGGTGAGTTCATCCTCTACTCAACCAGTGCAGAAGCACCATCAGCCAGTATTTCAATCACTTTGTCCCTGATAAAAGGTTCAACCAACTCAATATACATTCACCATTATCAAATTATTGTTTGATGACCATTAGCCATATTATTAAAAGGTGAAGGACTATAAATCACCTACTGGCAGCATGACATGCTCGTCCCACAGTAATTCAATCCAGGTAGGGCAACCATACAAATCCAATTATTCAAACCCCGGCCAATTGGAAGATTAACAAGTCCAGCAAATGGTGATGGCACTCCACAAGGCTGAAGTATACTCTCTGGAGTCTGGATAGCATGTAGCTTTAACTGTTCTGACAAATGGGCACGAGAGTGTTCATCCTGCAATCAGTGTGCATATATAAAGTTAAGGAAGAATGCATTGCCCTACTGTTCAATTCTGCTATTAAACACCGAACAGATAAACCATTTTCTTGAGTTAGCTACTGCTAGCACAGCCCATGACCTGGAAAGAAATTAACCTTTGCAGCAGCAAGCAATCCACTGGTGCCTTTGTCCAATCTGTGTACAATCCCTGGGTGAATAGATGCCTGAGATGAACTCAAATAGAAACCTTCATCATCAGATACATCCTCCGTATCTGAAAGAAGCTCCTCCTCTGGTAATGCAGCTGTCAGTAGACTACAGTGCTGAAGGCCATTTACAAGAGTGCCAGAAGCATTTCCAGCTGCTGGACGAACAACGTTATTAATTGTTATAGAGCAGCTCAGTGTGCAGTGTCAGAAACTGAATCCAAAGTTGACATTTGCAAACACAACTCAAAGCATATTAGCTTATGTCCATCAAGAACATGGACAGAGGGATAGAATTAGAGTGACGCTTTAGATTTGATCCACAAATTTCACTAAATAAGTCCAACCAGTTGATGTAGAATATGCAATTAATGGTAGTGCAATCATTTAAAATAAAACCTAAGTTATTTTTTTGTTGGAAGCAACTATAATAAGCATAAGCATGAACAACTACAGGAGAAAATTAACATCTTCCACCATGCATAGTTAAACTAATGGCAATGTTTACCTCAGCATTTGCAAAGAAAATTTTGTACTTAAACAGATGCAGATCTATCAACGACATGAAAAAAAAAAAAAAAAGGGACCGACAGCTGCAACTATGCAAAGGTAATGGTGCAATTAACCTCAGCATTCGGTAACAAATATTAAAAAGATACATAATATCTCATGCTTTAACAAGAGCAAAAGAAGAACTGCTATTCGAGAAAAAATTCAAAAAATACTAAAACAGCTTCAGCTTCTGGAGGTTACCATACGTGAAGGTTTATTAACTAAAAGAACATGCTGATCTTCGTAAACTATATCCAACGGCATATCTTCAGGTTCAGTCCTCAATGGCTGCAAGTCCGAAATTACGCAATTCACCTTATCTCCTGCTCTCAAATTGTGCGAGACCTGCACAATAATCAACACAAAAATCAACATATCAAACTAATTAGGTTTGATCTAAAACGACGCACTTACCTTATCGAAGACGCGGCCGTTCACGATGACGAGGCCTGACTTTACACTCGACTGCACTCGAAGCTCTACTGATGCCTTCAATCCGAGAAGAGATCCAAGAATCGAGCCTGATTTTGCCTTGCTTGATATCCTCGACGGTTTCCTTTAGCTTAACGCAGGCATAACTCGTTCTGATCGGTTCGTGATTTTGTTTGAATTTGATACTCCTCCGGTGGCACCGGAACTCGAGAAGTTTCGAAAACGCAGAGGGAAGAGACCTAGGGTTTTGAGGTAAGAAGGGGAAAGCTGAGGAAGATTGGAAGGCTCTAGCGGAAAGAACCGAGCAAGAAGTTGCAGAGAAAAAAGAGGGCATTCTTCTCCGCTTATGTTCGCCCTCTGAATCTAGTCGGGAATTTGGCCGCAGCTTGCGTTTTATATACGCGGTAATTACAGTCAAAATTCAAAAATTAGCGGTAAATGCAAATTTTTACGAGGGCAAATAGAGTCAAATACCATTTTTACCCCTGGGACAAGTACCATAGCTAAGCCCGCCATCGTCAACTCTCAACCGCACCGTAATCGGAGTAAGAGCACTGAGCCGACCGTAGGGGTAAGGGCAGAAGGGATGGACGGGAAATTTTGAAATTGACCGAAATTATAACAAATGGGTTAAATTTGATTGGATTTTGGTTTTTAGGTTTTGCCCAAATTAAACCGATTTCAAACCGTCTATCAAAAAATTTATTATAAATAATTTTTAATATAAAAAAAAAACTAAAAATAATTTAATTATAAATTAATAAACTCTTAATTTTATGATTTAATTTCAATTTCAACTAATAAAAGCAAATTTAGTTAAATTCTCAAGTTCAACAACTTCGGTCATAGCAAAACCAAAAATTGCTTCTTGCTCAATATTCTTTCAATCTTTCAGTATTCATGTTTATCTTTAAATAATTTACAAATTCGTCACATCTCAACAAAATCAAACTCCATCATCTTAAGTTATCAGAGTATGTTACTGTACACCATATAAACCTCTTCCTTAGACATGATAAAACTTTATTCATATATCTAGATATGGAGTTTATTGGTATTAACAACATCAACATCACCGTTTATTAATACAAACCCCAGAGCCAAGGATCAACGTACACTTGACCCACATTCTATGGGGTAGCTTAGTTGTATTTACATGGTATTAGGAGAAGCTTATTTCTGTCTCAGACCAGGGTCTGGTGTTCCAGTCATCATCATGGCTACAAATTCATCGTAATTTATTCTTCCATCCTACAGAGTCGAATCACGATATGGTAGAAATCATCATAAACATAATTCTCGAGAGAAGGTATTGAAATGCCATTATACGAGGAATGGTTAGGTTCAAATAGAAGATAATTACCCTGTCAGTGTCAACATCGTTGAGGATTTCATCTATTGTTGCCTCGTCCCCCATTCCGTACCTAGTCATGGCCTGTCTTAATTCATCTCTTGTGATAAACCTGGAAGAAGAAAAGGTAAAACCAATAAATCAAGTGGATTAACATTTGATGCTAAAAGTTCAAGACATAGAGAAACTGCATTAGGGTCTAATTCTAATCAAGGGAAATAGGCATTATGATAAACCGATTGCTACTAACACATTGCACTGCATAATGAGTTGAAACAAATAATATTTAACAGGAATAAGCAGTATACTAACCCACTGCCATCCTTGTCGAAGTATTGAAATGCCTTGGACAGGTTCTCTTCGGTCTCAACCCTATGCCGATGGATAGTAGCAGCAATAAACTCAGTGGTATCAATCATTCCACTGCTGTCAACATCAGCCTGAAACAAGATTGAAATAGATCCCAAACTTCATTTAACCTTCTGGTTCAAGAGAGAATTGATGAATTTTGCGATACTGATTAGTCACAGAATTATAGAAGTTGAGTAATCCTTACAGCATCCAGTAGCTCCTTTATTTCTGCCTCTGGTAGTTTAGATCCGAGTCTGGACAATCCATCTTTGAGCTCTTCGAATGTGACTGTTCCACTTCTGTCAACGTCGATGTTGTTGAACATCTCTTTCAAGCCTGCAATTTCTTCTGCTGAAAGGTTTTCTGCTATTACCTTCCCTCACAGAAACAAACAACTCAGGGGAACAGCAAAGGGTGGCCACAGAAGAGAAAGAAGAGAATAAACAAAACTCTAGTACTGTAATGAATTCATCATTTAAGTTCCAAAAATGAAAAAATGGTGTCATTAGAATTGAATCATACCTTCAAGGCAAGTTTCTTGAGCTTGTTCATTGCTCTGAATTGCTTAAGCCTACTTTGAACAGCACTATCAATAGGTCTGTCAGATGCTTCACCATCCACCTTTAACCATGGATGTTCTGGTTCAAATCAATAATGTGAATGACATTCATAGTCTATTCATTCTTCGTATGTTAAAATAAATTAATTACTTTAATGTTTAAAAAATAAACTACTTCACCAGTTGAAGATCACATTTATATCTAACCAACTGCAGTTTGCTTGCACAAATTTGTGGAGAAACTTGTCTACTTACCGAGGGCTTTGGCAGCTGTAATCCGTTTCTTAGGATCCATTGTTAACATCTTTCTGACAAGGTCCTTTGCACCCTCTGAAATGGTTGGCCATGGTGTGCTTTCCAAGTCAAGTTTACCTTTTAAAATTTCGTCAAATACGCCTTGCTCAGTCTCTGAAACAAAATTTATTACACATGAGGCAAAAGATAAAATAAAA